AGATGGGGGGGGGGGGCTACTGAAGGCTTTTTAAAAAATTTTAACAGAGAAGTGATACGATTAAAGTTACACATTAGGAATATTAATCTGACAAAACAGAATGGAGAAAAACTGGAAGCAAGGAGATCAGTAAGGAAGCTAATATAATAGCTAGTGAAAGGTAGAAGGTCTAATAGCAGTGGGAATTTAGAAAAAAAAATAATAACTGACATTTCTAGGTAATTTGTAATATATAAATTTATATGTTAAAAAGTACTTTAAACACATGATGTCATTTTAACCTCACAACAACCCAGTGAGCTAACTACTACAGATATTTACATCACCATTTTACAGATGATAAAATATATTTGGAGAAGTTAAGTGGATTACCCAAATAAATGCCAGAAGCAGGGTTCATACGCAGGTCTGTTCTGATTTAAAGGAAAGGATTTTCTATTTCACTGTCTTATTAAGGTCGACGGAACCAGACTGAGGTACTCTGGGTAGTCTCTAAGTATATAAGCAAGAGATGGTATAAGGGACTGAGAGTTCCGAGTTCTCAGTACTGTTGGGTTTGGTGTGATGATGCCAATTAGAAGAAAAAATGGAAAAAAACAGGAAAAAACCTCTCCCTGTTTTAAAAGAAAAAAAAATTGTTACAATTATGCCTCTTTCCCCTTCAACAACATCCCCATTCCAACCTCTTTTGAAAGATTTCACTAATACAGCAAAGATCTAGGGAACATTCACAAGTCAGCTCCAACTTTCCTTTCCCATTAAATATTCTTACACATTAATATTAAGAAGGAAACTGAAAATTAAGCAAGATGCCAGATGAAAGGCAAACCTTCTCCAGTTAAACTGAGTCAGTTTTCTTTTCTCCTAAGGAAATGGTTGTTGATGCCACAATGAGTTAAATTACAATAACACATGCCAGGGAAATGATGTCAGTGAGGGCGTGGCTAGACCCTTTACAAGTTTGAAATTCCTTTAGTCCTGAACATTTCCTCTTTCAGGCTCACCTATTCTTAAACCACCAAAAAGGCAGCTCCTTTAAACACTTGTGATGAAACAGCTTTTACATCCTGGAACCCTGGTCTGCTTACCTCAGCCATTCTTTTTGAAGAAGCCATGGATAATTTGAAGGCCATTAAAACGGACCTGGGAAAATGCACCATATTAAATTATTTTGCTAAGTCCAACTTAGAAAAACCTACATATTTTTTTCCTTTGGTCAGGGGCTAATTTAATTCCAAAGAAGACTCAATACAACATATAAAAAGAGGATTTTTTTCTCCTCCACCCTCCCACAAAAAAAAAAACTGTCAGAAAAAATGAAGGGACTGTATTTGTTTCATTCTAGCATTTAGCATGTTTTAAACATTTGATAAATATTAAACACCATCCAAAAAAGAGACCAGAACATGGTGGTTATAAGTATGCACATTCCTCTATATAAATTTTCTGATATTTAAAATGCAAATATTTTCCTAACTTAAATGAATTTGTCTTCCTTTGTATCACCAGGACTTAGCATAGTGCCTGACACATAGAAAGTACTTAATAAATACTTGTTGACTTGACCTTTAATTTTAAGTAATACAGAAACACCTTTCCAAATACAAGTTTTCCACAAACTCCACTAAGGTATAAAATAGAAGCCTTCCAAGCAGAGGACAGTAGCATTTTTCTTTATCTCCACAAACTAAAGATGACTCATGCAGACAATAAATTATTTTGTAAAAATTCTGCTTATTTAAGGAAAGCAGAAGATACTTACAATCACTCTGTAAGGGGCTGGAATTTGAAGTTTGCTTTTTTGTTTTAATATTTTAAGCATCTTGGAAGGGTCACAGGACCTGTGTAACATGTGGTACTTGAGAGTCAATGAGCTTTTACTGGAACTGACATATGGATTACTGACACCATTAAAACTTTGGGTATAAAAATGCACAGATAAAATGAAACAAACGCATCCTTAAACATTCACACACTTCCTAATGACACAAACTTGAGTAGATTAATTCCCACACATCTATTAATCCCTGCATAAATACAGAAACAAAGTAAAGTACATATATCATTCAAGTATAAATGTACTTAAACACTGACAGTCACAGACCTACACACACACAAATAAATGTTCATACATACCGACAAAGTGATTCATGTGTGCACATTAGGTGCACACACTCTTAGATGTCATCATGATGACAGCATATAAGAACCTAAAAGAGTTTTTGACCACTATTAAAAGTTACTGCATTTCCATTCTATAGTTACAACATTTCCATTCTAAACTTTTCTGGTCAGTACATTCTTTGAATTTTGACTCAGGCTCTTCAAATTACAGGGATGCATTTCAGGTTTGAATCTAGTCTCCTAGGCCAACTTGGAGCACCAGGAAAGGAACATAGCTACATATTTCTGAGAAAGCCTAGACAAGGGCAAGGAAATAATTTTAGGTGGATTCAAACATAAAAGCCCGCAAATGTGAGCATTAACCAATTTTAAAAATCAATTACAATAGTGGTTTTAGTATAACCTGAAACTTGGATAAATCACAAAGGGTACTGTCAACGAACTTACATGAACTGAAAAAGAAAGGGTCTTGTCAAGACTATCTTTAATCAATCAACAAATATTTCCTAATATAACTGCACAATGTTTCATCTCAAAAAGTAAATAGGGTACATCAACTAACCCTAATGTCTACTCAGCAATTCATTATAGTCTGGAAACCAAGTACCCAGGCACAAATACTTACCCCACCCACTATGGCCCAATCTTGAATGTCAAACCTATAAAAAGAATCCTTAACTTTCAAAACTCACTTAAATCCTATTTCACCAATCTCTAATTCTCTGTAGGGAATTCCTTTATAGGCCTGGGAGGGATCCAAGGCACAAACATCCCTACTCTCTACTAAGGGAGCAAAAGACATCCTAGCACATCCCTCTCTTTGGAGGGCAGTTTCAAAGCCTGACCCACAGTATTTATTGTGTTTCCATTGCAGTATAGAATCCCTTCTAGACAAATTGTGTGCCCTATAGTACCAAGAAGCTGCATATAAGGACATCCGCTTGGCATGTAGGCATGCGCATACACCCCTCCTCTGACTGCCCATGTGCCCAGGCACAGTACCACTGACAGCACAGAGTTAACCACAAGGTTGCCAGGGATCCCTGCTGAGCCTGGCTATCTGCTGAGCTCACTGCCCAGGCTTCTGGGACCCAGAGAAGCTAGAAAAGCTCCTTGCTTTAATCAGAGATATGTCAGCACTACAAACATTCCTTACAGGATAAAGTAGTTACCTAAGTCTGAAAGACAATGTTGAGATAACACTAGAATTGTCCTAAATTTACTGAATATTTTCAGCCATTCAATAAATTGGTGGATAGGATAGGTGGGGGGGGGCGTGTAGGGAGACAGAAAATGAGAGGGGGCAGGGAAGAAATGGTTAAGCAAAAGGAGAGAATAACCTTCCCAGTCAGTGGGGGACAGGGCCTGGGATGACAGATCATCTCAATAGGGTGCTGGCACATCAGGAAGTCAAAGTTACTTCATTCCACAAAGACACAAACTTGCAAGCCTGATTTCTGATTTCAATTTCTCCACCTCCCTCTGACCTTAAATACAGGGACGGAAGATCCCCGGAAATCTTAAACCAGGTGGCAAGAGGGGACAGCACGCAAGGAAAGGGGCAAGCAGAAATCTCTTTCCCTTTTCGGAGCAAAACGCTAAAGCCTAGGACATTGCCAGATCCCAAAAAAGGAAATAGCTTGGTTCTGGGGGGGAAAAAAGCTTTTCCCTACCTTCTTGTTGCTCTTGTTATAGCCAAAAGTCGTAATCCCAGGCCTGGAAGGCACAGATAGCAGCATTTTGTCTTTAATGTTAGAAAGCAGGAAGGGAGAGAAAAAGGGAGGGAGGGAGAGAGAGGGAGAGAGAGGGAGAGAGAGAGGGAGGGAGAGAGAGGAAGAGAGAGGAAGAGAGGGAGAGAGAGAAGAGGGGAGGGAGGAGGGGAAGGGGGAAGAGAGAGAGAAGGATGGGGGAGAGAGAGGAGGAGGAAAGGAAGGGGAGGAGAAATGAGGGAGAGAAAAGAGGACGGGGGAGAGAGAGAAAAGAGAAAGGAGAGGGAGAGAGAGAGAAAGGAGAGGGAGGGAGAGAGACAGAGAGAGAAAGAGGGAAGAAGAAGAAGAAGAAGAAGAAGAAGGGGGGAAAGGGGGATGGTAGAGCTAGGGCAGCTGGTTTACGTCACCAAGGGAAGTAAACCCAGAGCCTGGCTGGGATACTTCCACTGGGTCCTAATGCCCAGAAATTTTTTAAAAAGGAAAAACAGAGGGGGAAGAGGTAATTCTAGAAAGAAGGGGTTATATTAATCTCTTCTATACCTAGACCCCACTATTTCAAGGTACTTTTCCTTTTAAGACTTTCTTCAGGGATCAAGTTCTTATTCTGAAAGGGAAAAGGGCAGAATGAGTACATTGTGTTCGAAGCACTCAGCTAGGAGGAAGAGTTTCACTAGAGTTGCTTCTTGACTTTATAGGTGACAACTGGGACACAACTCTGGGGAACAGGCTGCCAACAGCTGTCTTGAGAAAAGCAAGGTGGCTGAGGGCTTCTCCTATGCCTTATATTCAAAGTGACCCCAATAACTCACTAACTCTCCCTGTAAGAAAATAGAAACTGAGAGCAGGTAAAGGGGCAAACATACAGAGAGAGTGGCTAGGATCCAAACATGAAAAAAGGCTTCTCCTCCCACTTAATAACCAAAAATTATCAGGCAGATACATTTTTCTGATGTATAATATAGGTGTACTAATGCCCATCACTGCTACTTCATGCTCAGCTATGGTTCTATCAGAAATTTCCATATCAGGCTAGCCTCTATCACAAAAACTTGGTATCTCTATCTGGCAACAAAAAACTGACACTTTTTTCTCTGACACTTCCCCTAGCCCAGAGTTTTAAAATTGCAGTTGAAACAGGTATAAATATCTCACCAAATAAATACTCACCAAAGTTGGAGCCAAAATTGACTTTCATAAGTTTGAGGTGCCTCCTCCAAGAGGTCAGCAGAACTGTGAAGAAAAATCACTATTTTAAAATTACATAGTACAGAGTAAGAACATCCCTGTTAAGATCAGCAGAATATGAACTTTGTGAGTCCAGGATCCAAGAAGGTTAAGGCAGCACTCACCTCTTATGGTTCCCAAACCTCACAGGAGTGTCCTTGTATAGAAGTAATTGACAAAAGAAAATTGTAGTTTCACTTGTAGACTAGATAGGGGAAGTGCGAAAATTGTAGATTAATGCCCAGTACCCTTCTACTTGGGCCACTTGGACAGGGGCCACTTCAAATGCTTTCATAAGAGCACCCTGCAGCCCTCATAACTTTCTCTTGGGGCGTACCCTAACCTAATCCCTGTCTTTCCTTTCCTGAGGAGATGACCAAGCCCAAATTGCATAAGTGGTTGCCTGCCTTTTGACTTGGTCCATGTTCTAGTTTTCTTATCTCTTTGTCATGATTGTGGGATAGACAGCACTAGTGAACGGAAGAAAATATCCACATATACCCCACCCCCAATCTCCAACTTTCAGCCTGAAATGAACAGGAAGTGCCTGCTCAGTTCAGGGGACACAGGAAGGGTGGGAGCAGGCTAACTGTGGGAATATCTACTAGGATTGGAACCATAGCAGCAATAAAGAAAGGACAGAAACTTGTCTTAGACTTACTGCATTAAGAAAATAGGCTCATTTTCCCCTTCTTTACTTAAACAAAAAGCATTTAGTAAGAGCTAGGAGCTAAGGATACAAATACATGAAGACTCATTCAATCATCCTAGAGACAGCTATAGTCATAGGGAACTAATCAGAACAGCTTATTTTATCCTGTCAACAAGGATTTACAGAAGTCTACCTCCTTGGAAGATGCCCCTTTTCTAACAAAGATACATTCCCCACCCCATCCCAGTCTCATTAAAGTGATAATCAATTTGGTAAGAAACTCTTCTGATCAACTCCCATTATGCTTATGTGCCAGTTGGATCCATTACTCAATCATGAAATATTACAGACACTTTCTCAGAAACATCACCATTCATCCCAACTTTTTCAGGTTCCAAAGTTTTTCTCAACTCTAAAAACTCTGGGGTTTTACCGCTACATCCCTTGATAATGTGAAGCAGAAACTCTACCGCTGAAATGCCGGTTACCACAAAACAAGCAATCTCTCTAATTTATTTTTAACTTCATATACTAGAAGTTACTCTGTTCAACTCTACTTTAGGTCCTACTGATTTCTCAAGATTTATATATACTATTTTCTGTCCAGATCTAGAAGCCCTAAATACAATCTTCATCTAAATATGCTGTGCTTGGGGCTGGGGTGGGGGTGGGAGGGAAAGGGGGAAGGGAAGCAGAAGGAAGGAAGAGGAGGCAGGGAGTAAGTGTTAGGTTGAGCAAAATAAGAATCCATTCTAAAAAAGAAAGTCTCTAGCTTAGGATTATAACATTGAAAAACAGTGAAGGGTCCTATTCCAAGCCACTACTCACTAGAAAATGCCTTTTAAAAAATCAAGGGGGCAGCTAGGTGGCACAGTGGATAGAGCACCAGCTCTGGATTCAGGAGGACCTGAGTTCAAATCTAGTCTCAAACACATAACACTAAAATAGCTGTGTGACCCCAGGCAAGTCACTTAACCCCATTGCCTAACCAAAAAAAAAAAAAAGCCAAGGCATACTCAAGAACAGATATACTCCACCTGAAAAAGCAAACACACTTTTATTATATGGGCCTAACTCTGTCTCCCCAGGGAATGAGTAGGATCAAGCTAACAAGATCTATTTCCTATGTGCATATTATAACCCAGATATGGTGCTTTGGAAGTGAAAGTTTCCAAAGATGATATCCTAAGCACAACTAAAAGTCTACACTGCAGGAAAATCTTGACTATTCTACAAAAGTGGAAGATTCAATCTATCCTGCACAGTGCTGCCAAAATAATCTTTTTAAACCATAGGTCTAACAATGTCATTCACCTGCTCAAGAATCTTTAGGGGTTTCCTACTGCATTTAAGATAAAACTCAAACTCCTCACCTTAGCATTTACAGAACTTAATAACCTGGCTTGAGAGTATCCCTCCAAACTTGTTTCAGGTTATTCTCCCTTCATGAACTTCAGGCCAAACTGGTCTATTTAGCCTTCTCCTTCTTCTATATTTCTGCATATGCTGTCCCCTACTTAGAATCCTTAAGTTCCTCCAAGATTCTATTCAGGGAACAAATTGTATAGGAAACTTTTTCTGATCCCCTAAATCGTTGTTGTTTTTTCAGTTTCAGTCATGTCCTTCTCTTCATGACTCCACCTGGGGTTTTCTAGGCAAAGATCCCGGAGTAGTTTGCCATTTCCTTCTCCGGTTCATCTCACAGATGAGGAAACTGAAGCAAAGAGAGTTAAGTGACTTGTGCTGGGTCACACATCTAGTAAGTGACTGAGACCAGATCTGAATTCATGAAGATGAGTCTTCCTGATTCCAAGCCCAGAGTGCTATCGACTTTGCCACCTGGCAGCCCACACTAAATTGTTGGTATTCTCTTACTTTCTCCCTTCTCAAATCATCTTGCATTTAATTTGCTGTGTACAGATTATATCTTCTCTTCCCAGCCCCTCTCTCAGCAGTTCTTGAAGGCAAGAACTACTTTTCTTTTTATTATCCCTGGACCTTAGTACTTTACACTTCCTTCCCCAGATCTGCATGAGACTTTTTGGTTGTGGGGACATCTCCTGATGTGAAAACTCTTTCTACAAACAGAAGGATGTATATTGGGTATCCCTCCATAACTCATAGTTTTAGAGAATTGCCTGGGGCCTGCAAAAATAAATGTCTTACCCATGGTAACATAGTATGTTTCAGACTCAGGATCTGAGTCTTCTCAGGTCTTCCTGAATCCAAGGCTGGCCCTCTTTTTACCCATTAACCAGCTACCATAATAGGTTCTTAATAATGCTTGTTAAATTTAATTGAATACAAAAATCCAAAGATCACACCAGCCCAGTTACTCTACTTCTGCCTCATAATCAACAGTGTTGATTATTTGGGAATTCTTTGCATAACTTTCAGCTTTCTGGAAGTAAGAGGAAAATCTCTTATCTCCAGCAGGCGAACAGGATTGATACAGAATACAAGAGCCTTGAAACACAGATCTGATTCCCATGGTTCTTTAGAGAGCTATAATGTTCATCTACCCAGGAAAAAACCTCTCTCCTCTATCCTCTGATTTGCCTCTGAGCTTTACGTAAAGGACTTTTTAGCTACTTTCTGATTTATAGCTGCTCCAACAATGTCAGATGGAAAGAAAATGAAGGAACATGCATAAAATACAGTAGCTTTGCAGTCTATACCCATCAAATAAGTCTGGGGTCCCAAAGTACAAGGCAGTTAAACATTTGGATTGCCTAGCCAAAAATGAATCATGTCAAAGACCAATGTTTATATCCTTGAATTAATTTTTAAAAAATAAAGCATGTGAAGGCAGCTAGGTGGCACAGTGGATAGGGCTCTGGCCTTGGAATCAGGAGGACCTGAGTTCAAATGTGATCTCAGACACTTGACATTACTAGCTGTGTGACCCTGGGCAAGTCACTTAACTCCATTATCCAGCAAAAAAAAAAACAAAAAAAAGAAAAAAAAGAAAGCATTTTAAATTATGTAGTTAGACTGAAAAATAAAGCTAGGGAACAACCCCATTTCCTTACACATGTATACCTTAATTACCCTTCTGCCTTGATCACCATATGCCCATATGTCCTAAAACTTGACCAGTTGCGTCATCAGTGATTATAAAGGAGATTTTTTTTTTAATGGGATCTGAGGCATATCTCCTGGGGAAAAAGAAAAGTTTATCTCAGATACAATGAAGGGGCATATGATTTCCTAAGGAGAGTAATATTCTTAGGAGTGAGACTCTGGATGAAACAGGTTTCCAAAATTTGGTTGAGTCTTTTCTTCTGTGAAATGATTTCTGCCACCCCACCATTGGCCTCTAGGTTTTCTATCTGGGCTGAGAAGTCAGCCTGTATTACCTGCAGATGTGCTGGCCTCTAGCCAGCCATTCAACAGGGACCAGACTGATGTAGAACATGTGTCTGGGAGCAGTCAGATGCCGCCAATTTGCATTGGCCCACGAACAGCATTAGTGAGGCAATTTGGATATACAGCTCATGGACCTGAGGAAGGGTGCTGACTGCACTGGGAGGTCAAACACATAGAGGAAATAAGATGATGGCTTTTCATGATATCCCATATAGATGGTCTTTCTTACTGTTTCTTACTGTTTTCTTACTGTTAGACCAAAAAAGTTGAGGAAAGTTCAAAACATAGGATTCAAATAAAATTATTTTGGCCTTGGAGAGAAGCATAGAGAAATTTACACATCAACTTCATGTAATTAAAATTTTTAAATGCTGTATCCTACAATAAAACAAAGTTCTGTCCTGCCCTCTTCTGGCCACCAAAATAATGGCAAAATAATCTAAAAGTACAGAAATTGGAGAAAGTCAGAGGACTTATCAACATCTTTAAACACCTACTATAGGCCAAGTACTCTGGTGGATCTAAGGATACAAACACAGAGTAAAACGATCCTTACTTCTAAAGAGCTTTCATGCTATTGGGGAAGACACTGATCTTTATATAGCTCCAATGAGGACTGAGAGTCTATAAAACCAATACTGTATACCCAAACTATTGGTATGCTTTTCAGTTCCTCAGAACCAGAGATTTCTCACCAAACAGACTCCTAAACAAAACTCCAGGCCAAGATTTTTTTGTACCAGACAAAGGTAGAGAATGTCTACTAAAGCAAATCTATCATGGGTGCAGGAAGCTTCTCCAAAACTCATTCCAGAATTTGGTATTAAGTAGAAGAGAAGGCCCAGACCCTAGGCATAACTGGAATGCACTCTAGTGATTGCAATGTTATTCTTGGCCATACCTAAATCCAGAGTCCTTTGAGTCATTATTTCTGTTTGGCCACAGCTATCAGAATTATCTAGATAGTTCCAATGAGATTACCAAACTGAGTTTAGTTAGGGTAGCAAGGATTTGAAGAGACAGAACAATGAGGAAGGGCAAGATACTTATTTGCTTCTTTTTCTTCTAAGAACCACATTATGATTCCCCTTTAACTCAATCTATCCTACACATATTTCCTCTAGACTTCTGTCAAGACTGAAGATGATGAGGAGCATGAGTAAAATTATTTTGTAATTCTAAGGAGGCAAGTTCACCTATTTATTCCAAAGTTGAGTCTTCCAATAGGATCCATTGTTCTGTTTAGTTTCAAATTCCATATTAGGCAACTGAATTGGATAATATCTATAGAGCAAAGGGCAGGATCATACCTAGAAGCTGTAGTTGAAAAGAATATCAACAAGTATCTTAGAGTTGTAGTAGAGTATAGTATGATGTTCTATACTTAAGATTAGAAGGAAATTTAAGTCCCAGTTTTGTCATTGACTTGATCAGGGTCAC